CCTTTTTGTTTTTTAAAGATTTATTTTTATTTATTTATTTATACAGGCACTGGGTACAGTCAGAAGGGCAGGAGGGTGAGAGAATTCACCAGAGCCAGAGTGGGGAGCAGAGCAGGCAGAAGGACCGAAGTACACTGCTGAGGGGAGCAGCGGGTATAGCAGGAGAGGTCTGCGCGCCATGTGGGACCCTCCTCCGGTGGCCGGAGAGCAGCCGGGGATTGAACCGGCGCTGCAGAGGCTGCGGGCAGCCTCGCAACCCAGCGCTCAACCGCTGCGCCGCCTGGGAGGCCCCAGTTTTCATTGCCTTTTATTTAATCTTGCAGTTTATGTATATATTTATGTCCAATCTGGCCAAAGCACATTTGTAACTTCAGATAATTTCCCTGCAACCATTCCACAAATTTAGAGATTTGACATTTTTCAAAAAAATTAAAACTACCATCAAAACAAAGACATGAAAAAGTGACCTTCAAAAAATTAGACTAACAATATTTCTTTGTCCCGGAGAGGCTGGGACTTCTAGATAATTTCTATAATCTCTAAATTTGGGCAACAAAAGTGATACATATATGACATTTATGAAATTACATTTAGCATTCAATAAAAAATGTTACTTTTTGGTAGCAGACAAATTTTTGGTGCTAATTTTCCATTTCTGTTGAAAACGTCAAGTCATGTGCTTCTTCAAATGTGGTTCTAACAAATCTAAACCAATAATCTAAACCATTAATTTCTGAACAAAGGTCAAAATTATGATACTGTGATTTAAAATTTTGAAACCTTAAGAGATGGATTTTTTAGAGATTTAATTAAAAATGGTGCTGAGCATTTACTTTATTAAACTTTTCTCTTTGTCAGGATCTGTAAACTACTCTTTAATATGCAAGTCACCCATATTCCAAACCAACATTTTTACCTCCATGTCACCTATGGTGATGTTACAATTCTGTCCTTTCTTCATTTATTAGTTGAGCTGTTTAACAAGAAACTCATCTACTCTGGCTACTCAGTGCTTCAGTTCACATAGGAGAGGCAAGAAAAATGTTCATTCTTTATTTACCAGTTTTTAAAACAGTGAGTTGATTTCTTGTAAGGTGGCGTTACTTTTAAAGTACAACTTTGAATCCATGGATTTAAACATAAGTATGTGTTCCATTCACAGCAATTAATCTTATTATGCTCAAGTTGTCCCGCCTTCAGCCTGTGAGAGCCTTTCTTTCATTGGCTCCTTCCTGTGTCCTCCTGAAATGCCCTTTGTGAAATGTGGCTTCAGGATCATCCAGCCTCAAACCTTGGAAATGTGTTTCAGCAAATTGTAAAACTTTATGGAGAGATTTTATTTTTTATTAATTTTTAAAGATTTATATATTCATACAAGAAGTGGGGTGTATGCCAGAGGTGCAAGGGGTGGGAGGACTCATCAGAGACAGAGAGGGGAGCAGAACAGGTGGATCCACTGAAATCCACTGCTAGGAGGAGCCGTGAAGCAACTCTAACCCTTCTGCTCACAGAAGTGAGACTATTTTTAAAGGCTGATGTATCTGCAGTTATTAAGGAAGTTCACCCATTCAAAGCCAGTGCTCCGTGCATAGTAAATAGTTAATAAATGTTGACTGGCTGAATAGATGATCACCTTCCCTTGATTTTAAGTATCTTGATGTTAGAGACCATTGGCTTCTAAGAAGTCTTTGTTGAATAGATAAAGAAGGAATGAAAACCAACAAGTGGTACCACTGTTCTTAGACAGGTTAGAACCCCCAAATACGTTGTTTTCTACCACCCCCTGGTGGGGAAGGGCAGAGAATCATCCTCTAATGCCTTAATGTCTTCTAGTGCAATGTTTTCCAAACTTAGATCCTCACCCATTAGTGAGTTGTAAAATGTGACCAGCATTTAAAAAAAAAACCATGAATTGAATTTATAATTGAATTGAAATATAGAGCTCCTCACATATAACATAATCTTCAAACTGTCATGAACTGTCATGAAGCTATAATTATAGCTGCATCGATATATCTATTAGTATATTTATTCACACATATGCTACACATACAACTTTATGTGTATACTGGACCACAAGCTGTGTTAAATGGATAGATGTTAACGATTAGCTATCTAGAGGAAAATGCCTAAGCATAGATGTACAAAAGTTTACCATACATATTTCTTAATATGAAGACTGTAGAGCCCATAATTTACAGAGGAGAAAATAGACAAAGACTGTACTGTAAATTCTATAGAGTGAATTGATTCTCACAGAATGCTGTCATTGATTTTTGCTGGACTCTTGTGTTCATGGCCAACCTACATTTTCAATTCAATTGTGTTTTGACAAAGATGTATCACAATCTAGAAAATCAACAAACCCCTTCCCCCCAAAAAATAAGCCTGGCACTTCCAATTTCCTGAGTGTAAATACTTCTGCTGTGGCTAGTTTCAAGCAACCAATATGATGTCACTGAACATGGACTTGGGAGGAGCTGGACAGTAGCAAAATGGACACATTTTATAAATGTAAGCCTAGATAATAATAAAATACAGTAAAAATAATTAGAATGAGTTTTGAGTATTTGTTTTGAGAATTGTTATTAATTCTTAGTTTATCTACTTTTTAATAATGGTTGTGTTTAATAATCAGCTTGCAAAAGTCCTAAAAATTTAATAAGCGTCTCACAGGCATACCACTGGACTCACAGCATAAATATGTGTGTCCTAATAAGGGCAGAAGTTTTAAAAAAGGAAAGATGGAAAATCCCCAGAGAATTACAGTGTTTCAGCTCTATAAAATTACAATTTAACTCAGTCTTCAAAAATCTCTCCAGGGATAAAGCTGCAGACCTCAAATGAAACACACCAATTTCCGTTCTATGGAAATACAGATATGAAATAAACAGACCAAATTCAAGGTGGTTGTAATGGGTTGAATGGGGATCTCCAAAGAGAGAAGTCAAAGTTTTAATCTGTGACACCTATGAATGTGATTTTATTTGGAAACACAATCTTTTTTTTTTAAGATTTATTTTATTTTATTTTGTTTTATTTTATTTTATGCATACAAGAGCTGGAGTGTAGGCCAGAGGTGCGGGGTATTGGGGGGTGAGAGGATTCACCAGACAGAGTGGGGAGCAGAACAGGCAGATTGACTGAAATATACTGCTGAGGGGAGCAGCCAGCAAGACAGGAGAGGCCTGCTGCGCCATGCGGGTCACCTCCCTGACCAGGGATCGAACTCATGTTGCAGTGGCTGTTGATAACTTGATAGTGCTGACACTTAGCCCCTTGTGCCTTAACACCAGGGAGGCCCTGGAAATACAATCTTTTAATTAAGGTAATTTCAAGACTAGACTATCCTGGATTTAGGATAATAGACAAGAGAGGACATTCGGAGACACAGAAAGGAGAAGACCACCTGGAGAGGAGGCAGAAATTGGATTTATGCCAGGGATGGCCAGCAGTTACCAGAAGCTAGGATACAGGCACTGGTATTAAAAAGCACAAACCACAACTTTCCAGATCTAATTGACTTTATTAAATGATTCATGAATCAGGCAGCATCCCATCTTTAGGCTGCAAATTGCAGAGTATTTAAAAACAGAAAGCGGGTGGGGCAAGGTTATTAGCAGAAGAAAAGATTATTTCGGGTAAAGCCAACTTCCCTGGGTGAGGGGGAGCGTATGATGTGCAAATGACTTCACAGGTGTTTCCAGGTGCTGATCAGGAAACCCCTGTTTGGTTTAGGATCACACATTGGGGAGAGGTTGAAACTGCAATGGGTATTAAGTCTGAGTGAGGGCTCAGCATAAAGAACTCCATCTTAGGCCTGTTTTTTCTATCTTTAACAGAGGGAAATCCTCTTTAGAGCCTCCAGAAGGCCCTAATTGCTAATAGCTTGATTTTAGACTTCTGGTTTCCAGAAGTGTGAGAGAACAACTTTCTGTTATTTTAAGCCAACACATTTGTTGTAATTTGTTATGGCAGCCCTGGAAAATGAATACAGTGGCAAAGAAATGACTCAAGGTTGGGCAACACTGAATTAGATACCCGCCAGGGAGAGGGTTTAGCTCCATGATCACTTGAGTGACTGAATTACCAATGCGCTCATCTAATCTTACTAACTCCCAGAGCCCGGTATTTTCACTCAAGATAATAGGTTTTCTTAAGTAAAAATAAATGAGTATATAATTTAAAATTTAAAGTTAATAACTACTGTGTGCATTTATTTCTAAGGAAATTTAACCTCATGTTTCTATACCTGGATCATGGTAAGGAACCCCTGAGTTCACCAATGGAAGGGTGATCTCTTGTCTTCCCATTTTACAGATAAGCAAACTAAGGCTCGGACAGAAGCGATGTCTCCAAGAGGGACTACATGATGCTGTGACTGAAGCAGTCTTCAGTTCCCACAGTGCTACATTTATTCTTCCAGCAAACAGTTGTGCCAACGCTTTTTCTGTTTTCCCAGAACAGAGCAAGAAGCAGCGACTGAAAGTAAAACCAGTTCACAGACCTAGTTGTCCAGCTGCGAGACCCATAAAAATAAAAATAAAGCAAGGGAGGGCCTCCCCGGTGGCTCAGCGGGTTGAGCACTGCGCTGGGACGCTATCCACGGCCTCTGCAGCACAGGTTCGATTCCAGGTCAGCCAGGGAGATACCCACATGGCGCGGCAGACCTCTCCTGTGGTGCCCGCTGCTCCCCTCAGCGGTGTATTTCGGTCCATCTGCCTGTTCTGTTCCCCGCTCTCTCTGGTGAATCCTCTCACCCTCCCGCGCCTCTGGCCTGTACTCCAGTCTTGTATAAATAATTAAATTAAAAAAAAAAAAAGAAAAGAAAAGGCACTGGGATCCGGGAGCTCGGCGACGCGGGGCTGCAGAGGCCACCAGCGACCAGCAGGGGGAGCACGCGGGCCCCGGAGCGCCTCGGGGGCGGGGCGCGCCCAGCGCGCATGCGCCCGCAGGTAGCCTCGGCCCCACCCGGGCGGAGGCCGGGACGGTGGCCGAGAGGGCGCGGGCGGCGGACGGTGGCCGACGAGGTCCGGCATGGAGCACCTGGAGCGCTGCGCGTGGCTCCTCAGGGGGACGCTGGTGCGGGCTGCGGTGCGACGTTACCTTCCCTTGGCGCTCGTCGCCTCCATGCTGGTGGGCTCCGTCCTCAAGGAGCTCTCCCCGCTGCCCGAGAGCTACCTCAGCAACAAGCGCAACGTCCTGAACGTGTGAGTGCGCCCCGGCCCCCCCTGCCCGCCATGGCCGGCCCGCCCCGGGTCCGGGGAGCCGGGCTTGGCGCCCCGAGGGATGTCAGGGGCGGGCAGGCCGTCTCCCGAGCGTGACAGCGGCACCTGCACGCGCGGAGCGCCCCTGCGGGACTCCAGGACTATGTGGTGTCCCTGACAGTTCGTGTTTGCACACCCAGGCGGGACACCCTGCGCTTGCCTGGGCAGTGACAGCCGCGGGGTGTGTGCACTGGGTGTGTGCAGAGGGGCGTGTGTAGAGGGGCGTGTGTCTGTGTGTGTCTTTATATGGGGAGACATGGCGGGGAAGATGCACAGGCCTATATCGCTGCTACCCCCCAGTTCTCCCCTCTGGAGTTAGGAGTTGGGCCCTGGCCTGGGGAGCTGTCACCCGCCTCCTGCCTGCTGTGTCAGACCCGCGCCTCCGCCCCAAGGCCTTTCCCTGGGCTGGGGACCAAGCCCGCCTCTCCATGGCGAGAGCCTTGTCCCAGCCTGTGACTAAAGTCCCACTCCAAGATAGTGGCGCTGGAGTGGAACCTGCCAGCCCATGACCTTTCCTCTGGATCTCCGTGGACCTTCTAAGTGCTCAGAGTTGATGGCCATGGTCCAGGAAAGCAGTCCCAGCCAGCAGGGCTCTTTGCAACATCTGCTGAATTCTGCCCACTCCCTCCTTCTTTCCTTAACTCCTGAATTTTAATGTTTCCTACTGGAACAATTTGTTCCAGTAGGGGAAACTTTGAGAAGTTTCTCCCTGATGTGAGCCTGCATTCTTTTTTTAGAAGAAGCGTCAGCTTGGTCTCCTAAAAGACAACCCAACTTTGTTTATGGACTTCAAACCCTGGTTTCTCTCCCAGGCAGCTTGGTCACATGCCTGGCAGGTCTTGGTTGTGGCAGGATCCTTGCATGTTAGTCCCAGAGGAGATTTTGGTGACAGGCTCTTGGGTGGTCTCTGTGAAATCTTTGGAACCCAGGGAAGAGTCATTCTGTCCTTGGTCCACCTTTCTTCCCTCTGGAGGATGGGCTAAGAATAGAACATGAAAGCGGAGGAAGCCCCAAGTAGCTTGTAATGTGTTTACTACGCCAGTCTCCGGGGCAGCCACCTTTGGTGAGAGCAGGTGAAGCAGATGAGGCAGCTGCTGCTTTGTCTGGCTTGGGTGAGCAGGGCCTAGGCAGCCTGGCAGACAAGTCTCTGTTTGGTGGTAGCCTTGGATTCTGGCATTTCGTTACAAGCCTCTGCTGCTAGTGACTCATTGGCTCTGGAATGTGGTCCCCTTAATTCTGTTCAATAGCTGAAGAAACTGGCCTAGAGAGTGTAGTGAGTCAAGTCAGAGTCAGGATTTGAACGTGGGTCACCTAGTATGAAATCAAGTTCTGTTCCAAGATCATTTATGCCATGCAGGAAAGACCCATGGTGCAGAAAAAGCATGGGCATTGCTGGCCAAACCTTGGGTTGCTCTGCGACTGGTTGTGTGAGTGACCCTCCACTAGTTACCTAATGTTTCTGAGCTTTGATTCTTTATCTCAAAAGGGAGCAAATGAGAGCCTCCCTGGTGGTGCAGCAGTTAAAGACACAGTGCTATCAGGCTATTTCCATCCACTGCAACATGAATTCAATTCCTGGCTAGGGAGCTGACCTACATGACGCAGCAGACTTCTCCTATCTCGCCCGCTGCTCCCCTCAACAGTGTATTTAAGAATCTCTGCCTGCTCCCTACTCTGTCTCTGGTGAATCCTCTCACCTCCCTCACCTCTGGCCTGTACCCCAGTTGTTGTATGCATAAATAAATGAATCATTAAAAAAGGGGGGGAGCAAATGATACCTTCCACCCAGGGTTGTGACTGTTCTGTGAGAAAGTAAGTGGATGTGAAAGCTCCTGGCATTTGCTAGATGCTCGGTTATTTGCTAAGCAAACCCTGGATTTGAATCCTAGCTCCACCATTTATGACCTCCACTTTGGACATTATGCTGCTCGTGGCTCAGTTTTCTTATCTGTAAAATGGTGTGTGTGGGGGGGTAATTACAATCCCTACCTCATGGAGTTGTTTAAGGATCAAATAGTTAAGATCTTTAAAGTACTCTGAAGTGAGGCTACTCTACTGTTGTCTGTGACTTTTATACAGTTGTCTGTCAGCTTTTCCCTTTTTCCCTCCCTTGGAGGGAAACCTAGAGACCTGAGTCATGTCCCCTGTCTTCACTTCTGCTTTCCTCCTCTGCTAGGTATTTTGTCAAAGTGGCCTGGGCCTGGACCTTCTGTCTCCTCCTGCCTTTCATCGCCCTCACCAATTACTACCTGACAGGCAAGGCGGGCTTGGTCCTGCGGCGGCTGAGCACCCTGCTTGTGGGCACAGCCATCTGGTATGTCTGCACAGCCCTCTTCTCCAACATTGAACACTACACGGGCAGCTGCTACCAGTCGCCGGCACTAGAGGGGATCAGAAAGGAGCACCAGAATAAGCAGCAGTGCCACGGAGGGGGAGGCTTTTGGTATGGCTTTGACATCTCGGGCCACTCCTTCCTGCTGACCTTCTGCGCCCTCGTGATTGTGGAGGAGATGGCTGTGCTGCACGAGGTGAAGACGGATCGAGGCCATTTCCTCCATACTGCCATCACCACCCTGGTGGTTGCCCTGGGCTTCCTGACCTTGATTTGGGTGTGGATGTTTCTGTGCACGGCTGTTTATTTCCATGACTTGTCCCAGAAAGTGTTCGGCACCCTCTTCGGTCTGCTGGGCTGGTATGGGACATACGGCTTTTGGTATCTGAAATCCTTTTCCCCCGGACTTCCTCCCCAGAGCTCTTGTTTGAATTTGAAACGAGACAGTTACAAGAAATAAAAGAGAAGCAAAGGGGGTGACACCAGGACAATGGCTAATGTATTTTTCATTTATTTTTCTTAGTTATTTGACTAAATGATTGCTCCTACTTCAGAGAGGAAGCTTGCCAGTTTTGGTGAGTGGAGGTAGAGTCTGGGGAGTGAGTTCAGCCCTTGGCAACTTCACCTGGTGTCACAAGCGCCACCATTACCCATCGGGTACTTTTCATCCCTGGCAAGACTTGGACTGTCCTTTATGTCCCTAGAGGACGGAGTCAGGAAAGCCTCTGTTGTGACTGGAAGGGAAGCCAGGGCCTCGGCGCCCTCCCTGCTGCCATGACTCCTCCTGATTCTGGTTGTCTTCTGTTCCAATGGCTGTTAATGCTGTTATTTAATCATTATTCCCTCTGGTCAATTTTGCATAAGCATTTATTTCCAGCAGGGTTCTTTAACAACCAGCTGCCTGAAAGACACCATCAGGTTGTAGTATTTATTTCATCTGTGGAATGTTAAATATTGCAACTGGCTGGTGATTAGCTATTTAAACAAACTGGAGTGCCTCTGTGTGACTGAATATTGGGTGAATTTTATGTAATGAGCATTGATGATGTTCTGTCCATGTTGTCTACTGTTACCTATTGGTTTTAGAACCATTTGTCACTTTTTTTTTTCCTTTCCTTTTAAGTGAACACTTTATAGTTTTTAATGACGACCATGGCATTTTGTTCTTGGTTGATAAAACTCCTGAAAAATAACTCAGAACTGCAGCGCTGCACCTCTGGCACATGTGTACATGCCTTGAGGTTTTTTATGAACATTAATTTACTTTTTATAAACCAAGCTCTTGGCTTATGGTATAAAATTCCATCTCACAGGGCTGTTTGTTTATAAGAATTAAACCAGAAAGCAGACATTATAACAATGACTCCATGAGTTATAAACTGAGTCAGAATAATTTTGCAAAACAGGCGTATTTGCACTGAAACTTTCCTGACCACACACGAGTGGTGTGCACCATCGAGAACGAGGAGTACGTTGATCACTCAGCTGAAAGTGGCCCTTGGCACTTCACCTTTGGACAAGGTTAATATAGTGGGAGATGAAGGAAATGCTTCTAATGGCAGGGAGCCAACCTGTTTGCAAAGATGTCCTCATTAAATGGTGGCATGTCTTTGGCCCCACCCTTCTCTTGCATCATCAGCCAAACCAAACCTAGACCTCTTGAACTCTTTTTTCCCCTGGCAGCAACTCTCCATTTCCAGCCTTGTCCTGTGACCCGCACTGTGAGGGTGCTGGGAAGAGTAGAATCCTGTCACCCCATCTCACAAGGGCACAGTTACCCACACACACACACACACATACATACACGCTCTCACTACAGGCTAGTCTCTTTAAATCCTTTAAACCAGGCCCCTTGACTTTTGGGTAGTCCGTGAGGGTGCTCTGATGTCCCTTCCCCACCCCCCAATCTAGCCTGATAACATTAACTGACAGGTAAGAATTATACTTGACTGACTTAACTCCAGCTAAGGTTGCTAGGAGCACGAAGGCTGGAATAGCCTGGGTAAATTGTATTTCATAATTCATATAAAGATGTATTTGAAATATGTATTCTTAAGGGCTGCTGGTTGATTTGTATCGCTCGAAGTGTGTGGTATGTTGTACCCACAGTGGCAGAAGCACCTGTGATGGTGAGAGGGCGGAAGTGCCCACCCAGTGCCTTCGTGGCATTGGCAAAATGGGGTGACCTCCAGGAGCGGGTTTTTTGTTCTGGGGTGTTTATAGCCATAAACTGGGGATAGGATCTGTGCCGGGGGCTTGTTGAAAGGATTGGAAGTTCTCCTAAGTTTCATGTTCAGCAGCAACAGGCACAAGGTCACTCCAGAGTTCATTTGTTACATTTAAATCTGATATCTCCTTCAGCCTTGAATCAGCAAGTGTCAGTTTTCCAGCCCAGTGTACTGATTAGTCTTCCACTACTTCCTGCTCATTTTTGCCTTGTTCTTGGGAACAAGATCTCTCTCCCTACCAGAGAGAGTATGTGTAGCTGAACTAGTTCGATTTTAGGCAAACATGAGATGTGGGTTCAGATGGTGGCACTAATGTGATGGCTGCCTAACCACCACGGGCAAGCCTCATTTTCCTCATCTGTAAAGTGGGATGATAATGTCAGGATTATGGGAAAGGATGCATGTGACCTGACTATCCCAAGTGCTGGCAGGCGATCATCCTCAGCCTCCTATTCCTTGACCAGGCCTTGGGAACTTTGTGGCGCCTCTGGAGAAGGCAAGGGAATGCACATCTGTTGAGTGCCATCTGGGGACTGAGTCTCCTGTTGAAATAGTCTTGTGTCGTCTTTTGGAAAGTGTCTGTTGCCCCCAGGTGCTGAACAAGAGGCTGCCCAGGGCTTCCATGATCACGGAAAACCGCCTTGCTGTGTTATCTGTCGGTGCTGGGGTTCTTGCACTGAAGCCTCATTTTTCACATGCATCTGTCATAGTCTGAGTACCAGATTGTATTTAGAGAATGGCTCTTGCCACTGTTATGTACACACAGATCGCGCGTGTGTAAACAAGCGAATTAAGTAAATTAGAGATAATAAAATCCCATATTCCAGCATTTCGTGTGTTCCTTTCTAAAACCCTTAATAAAGTCCAAAACCCAGCGAAAGATCAGCCCACTTTGTGAAGGCAGTGTAGCTCTTTCTTGAGCCACTTGTTATTTAGAGGGGAGTTCTTGGCTGTAGTTTTTCTTATTTTTTCTCCTAAATCCTGTAAACTAAATATGTGTTCAGTCATTTCTTAGCTTGATTTACACCTTCCCACTGCCATGTCCGTGTCTTAAAGTCCTGAGACCTGGATCAGAAAACTGTTGGGAACAGTTTTCTTGGCAGAGAAGAGTTAAGCCTCATTGAAGTAACATGGAAGAACAGCTACAAAGTTCACGCAGATGAGCCTTGTGGCCCTGGAAGCTTCTACATATGTGAGGGCTTTTGTGTCATTTAGTGCCCACTCATTTGTCAGCCTGACCTACTTGGCACCTCCAGTGAGTGTGTTGAAATCTCAGTGGCTCCCAGATTAGAATCTCCTCACACGCAGACTTCCCTGTTCAGATTCCTTCAGCAGAAGCAAACCCTTCATGATTCATACTGCGGGCCAGGAACGGGTGGGATGATAAATGCCCTCCCTCAAAGCTTTTGTGGCCTGAAGTCCATCCTTTTAGTGCTTATGATGTGTGCTGGTTACAAAGACAAATGTGATACATCTCTGCATTGGAGGGAGTTTTTAGTCTTTGGGAGAAGACAGAAGGAACCAGCATCACCATAAAGTGTTCTGAGTACCTGGGCCAGGTCAAGGCCTGGGAACGCAGGAGGAGACAACCAACAACCCTGGGAATTAGAGAACATTTTCAGAGAAGTTAACGATGCTTTTGGGTTTTGAAGGATAAAGAGGAGTTCAAGCAATTGGACAGAGAAGGAAATTCAAGAAAGTAAGGACAGCCCACAAAGACACACAAATATGTTGCCATGGTTTTTACTGAGACATCCTTTCTCAGGAAACCAAGCTGTCCCATCATTTTCAAGAGTGAAAGAGCCTACAGCGAAATAAGCCAGAAAGAAAAAGAAAAATACCGGATGGTCTCACTCATAGCAGGAACTTAGAAAACCTAAATAAGAGACCAGGAAAAAGACTAATCAAGACAAAGTAAAAATCAAAATCAACAAGGGCCTCCCTGGTGGCGCAGCGGTTGAGCGCTGGGTTGCGAAGCTGCCCGTGGCCTCTGTGGCGCCGGTTCGATCCCCGGCTGCTCCCCGGCCACTGGAGGAGGGTCCCGCATGGCGCGCAGACCTCTCCTGCCGCCCGCTGCTCCCCTCAGCAGTGTACTTCGGTCCTTCTGCCTGCTCTGCTCCCCGCTCTGGCTCTGGTGAATTCTCTCACCCTCCCGCGCTTCTGACTGTACCCAGTGCATGTATAAATAAATAAAAATAATACTTTAAAAAAAAAAGAGTGAAAGAGCCTAAAGAAAGGCAGAATTTCTAAAGGGCTGTCAATGGAGGTCTTGGCTGTTCCCTGCCGTACTATAAAGAACACTCAGCTAGAAGTTGGAATTCATGGCTCTGAGTTGTGTTCTGCCACACTTTTGCTAAAATTTTTTGTGTGAAGTTGAATTAGTCACTCAGTGTCTCAATGTTGGTTTCTCTGTCTGGTAAGTGGTGGGAGTGGACTGGATAATCTCACCAACTCTTCCATTCCGTTCTGTTTCTCTGCTTGGTGAAACGTTCTTCCCAAGGTAGTTATGACCTCTAGGAAACTGCCACTTAGAGCTAAAGTCGCAGCTGGTTCCCTGGTAAGTAATGAGAGAGACCCGCGACTTTCTCTGCTTCAACAGAGACCCTCCTCTGTGGGTCCATGTGGACTTAACAGAAAAGGGGGTGGCATTGAACCTAGTTCCCAAAGGGATGCACTGCAGAAGCCTTTACAACTCCCCAAATCAAGCCATTTTTGATGACTATGAAGGAAAAGGTAAGTTCTGTTAAGAAAAACCCTTTGCTGTATCATCATTACCTTCAGAGAAAGCCCCAGAAACTCTTGTCCAATCTCTGGTGAACACAAGCAGCAAAGAAAGCAGCTACTCTCATGCCTTGGGGAGGGGGAGATTGCACATTGGTGCCACTGCCGTGGTACCTGAGGCAGCCTAGTATCCAAATTTAAGATGTGCAGACTAACAGTCTCAATTTAGGGAATTGCACTGTGATATTTAAAAAAGTTCATCCCATCATGCTCAGCGAAATAAGCCAGAAAGAAAAAGAAAAGTACTGGATGGTCTCACTCATAGCAGGAATCTAGAAAACCTAAATAAGAGACCAGGAAAAAGAATAACTATAAGAAAGAAAAAATCAAAATCAACAAACAACTGTGAACCAGAGACACACAGTGGGGGGTGGTGGGGGGGGCGGTGCGGGGAAAGGAGGGATTGGGGTCAAAATAAGGGGGGTGCAATTGTATGGGGAATATAAAAATAAAATTAAAAGTTCATCCCAATAAATTTTGAAGATCTATTTGGCTTTGTTCAGTGATTCATGCACGAGGCACATCCCATCTAGCAAGTAGAGAGGCACTAGGGAATTACACAAAATGCAAAGATTATCGTCAGAACGTGGGACAAGGTTATTAGCAAAAGAACAGAAAGCTTAGTTCAGGCAGTCTCCCGTGGGGGATACTGGGGTCTTACCATGCAGGTGACCTCTCTGGTGCTGACCAAGAAGCTCCAGGTTGATTGGTTTAAAATTTCACTTGAGGGTGTTGGGCAGGGAAGAGAGACAACGCCTCCTCCAGTGGGCGATGGAAGGCCTGTTGGGTCCCGTGGTTGCTGACCCGTGCATGGGTGGGCACCCTTTCTGGCCTCCTGGCCTTATTCGAGCAGGGTTCTGAATATTGACATTTACAGTTTCCTAATTCTGGTTCTGCCATGTGCTCTAGATGTGTGACCTTGAACGAGTTCCTCCACCTCTGGGTCTCAGTTTCCCCATCTATAAAAAGGGGGATAATGTCATTGTCCACCTCAGAGTTGTGAGAAGTAAATGAATCGATACCTGTAAGGTCATAGAACGGGACCTAGTATGAGAGGCTCTATGTAAATGTCTTCCAAGTGCACAGTAAGTCCCTAAGGTGCCATCACTACCCTGACATTACCCACCGCTTGTCAGTGTTTCCATTTGGAACAACCTGGAGGTACTTGAAAGGTCTAGTCAGTGAATGTGCAATGTTTGTGACCTAGTGGGGACAGTCTCCCAGACAGCAGTCTGGTTTCAGGGTTAATGGGGGAGGAGAGCTGGGGAAATGAGAGAGATTTTCCAGACGAGCTGAAAGGCAAGGGCGCCCGTGTATCTGTGGGGTCCTTTTGGCCAAGGTAAAGTTAGCCCCCTGGCTGAGTGTATCTGCCGACAGTGAGCGATGGCTTTGGCCCTGCGAGAGACTGAACACCTGTCACGAGACACGAAGTGACTGTGCAACCTGAGCTGCTTATTTTGGGGGATGGCTGGGAGCTTGTCGTGGGGCCCTTGCGCCCGCTGCCTCCCCCTCCCCTCTGCTCTGGCAGCGTGCGACTGCACGGCATGCGTGTGTGTGAGGTGGGTAATGCCTGGGAGGTGAGTAGGTGGCAGGAGCATGGAGCCACCCTGATTAGCATCTTAGTTTCTGAGCCAAGTTATCCAGGTCCTGCCCAAACAGGCCGCTGTCTCCCTTTCCCAACTCCACTCCTTTCAGCTCTTCTTGCCTTCTGCTTGCATTTCCTGGGCATGCTGGATCCGTGACAGACCCCTCTGCTCCTGGGCACCCATAGGTGAGTGGGGCATAAACTGACTCTCATCTGGAGTTATTAGAAGCACCAGCCTGAAGCAAGCAAACCATATTCAAATCCTGCCTCTCAGCTGTGTGATCTTAAGCAAGTCACTGAGCCTCTCTGGACTTGTAACTCATCTATTAAAAGGGGATAATACTGTCTTTCTGCCACTAGTCTTTGGCTTAATGAAATCACGGATGGGAAAATAATCTATAAGCTGCTTGTTGTTGAAGAGATTTACCTTGCCCATTGAATGTCTCTCAGAAGCCTGGACATTGTAACTCCTACTTGTCCCTCATACCCTTGAGATGTTTTGATGCCATCAATGTAATTTTTAAAGTAATATTGGGTACACTTAGTAGCAACTGGGGTGGAATTGTGAGGAAGGCTTGCTGTGTGGAGCCTCCAGTAAGCCCCACTAGGAGAACTCACCACATACCCCTAGGACTTTAAATCATGTCACATGCAAATAACAATTTTCCTATTGAGAAATCGTCTGGCTTGCTACTGAGCTCTGGCAGAGAGGGAACACCTGGCTGGGAGACTCCAGGTGAGTGTGCAACCAGAGCGGCTCTTCGGAGCTATATGTCACCTGATGCAGCAAGGCACAGAGCCAGGCCTGGGCAGCAGCAGGTTGACATCTAGTGAACGTGAAGCAGCTCAGAGTATGTCACCTATTCCTGCCACATGGCCACCTCTTCCTCAATCAGTGCCTAAAGCCTTGTGACAAATACCCAGTGCTCAATTGATGGAGGAAGAAAAAAAACAACTGGAAGTGGATAGTTGCAGCACTGCAGGATGTCCTGAAAGACAATGGAGAAGGAAATCTTTCAGTGACCAGAACTTGAAGCAGGGCACTTTGTGGTCCAGCAATATGGATCTACACATGTTCAGGGGATGAAAGGCTTCATCAGACATCAGGAACACAGAAGGGCAAGGTTGCCTGTTGGTGGTCTGCGGGAGAAGGTATGTGGATGGGCTGCTAGCAATGTATACAGAAGGTGGGGGATCTTTGTCTGTGAATATTCCTCCCAAAGGTACTTAGTATAGGAGACTCTTAACAAATTGGAGGATAAAATGACATTCTGTAGGTGTCAGTCATTTCCTTTCTTAAGCAACTCTTTCCTTGCCCAGTGGCTCATGTACAGATGGCCATAGAAAATGAGGTAGAGTTTATAAGTGGATACAATGTGGACTTCCTCTCAACGAGATTGATTTAGTGGGCCTCCCCGGTGGTGCAGCAGTTGAGCACCGGGCTGTGAAGCTGCCTGCAGTCTCTGCAGCGCCGGTTCGATCCCTGGCCCCCAGCAAGGGTCCCACATGGTGCGCAGACCTCTTCTGCTGCACCTGCTGCTCCCCTCAGCAGTGTATTTCATCAGTCTGCCTGTTCTGTTCCCTGCTCTGGCTCTGGTGTATTCTCTCACCCTCCCGCGCTTCTGACTGTACCCAGTGCTTGTATAAATAAATAAATCTTTTAAAAAAATAAAATAAAAAATAAAAGATTGATTTAACGATAATGGCTGAGAGCCTGACTTGCAAAGGAACCACCTGTTACATTGACCCCTTTCATCATAGAGCAGCAATTTGTATGTAGATTTGGCTTTTTGACCACCATATCCATATAACCGGTCATGCAACATTGCATTATCACAGCAGAAGAAATGCAGCAGTGTGATTACACCTATGGAATTTTCTGGTCTCACTGGGTACTCCATTATCTAGAAGCAAGTGGACTTACAGAACATTGAAATAGATTGAAGATTCTGTTATAGCACCAGCTGAGAGACATGCAATGTCTCACAGCACTAACCACAGTGCTGTTTTTCCCACACCAGGATAAACTGGATCCAGGAATACTGAGGAATACTTCTAGTGGGGAATATATCAATTGTCCATAGAAACTACTTGCAAAATGTAAGTTTCTCTGCTCATTGGGGTGATTGGTCCTCATCACCAAGGGTAGATTAGCTTGTTGCAACAATAGTGGCATGGAAGACTATGTATGGGGGCTATCGGATTCTCTGAGTGCCCCATAGTCCTTCCATGTCCAATAGTACAAGATTAATCAAAGACCACAGCAATTCAAGATTTGAGTCATTTAACCAAGTAAAATACCCCAACCAGCTGGGGTAATTGCTGAGGGAAGAGAAAATATAGACTAAGTAGTGGGGAAGAGGCTGATCTGCATCAACAGCGGTCTTGGCATCAACTGCAGAAATGAGGACTGTGTGGCTATGAGTACCTTCTCCCTTTCGTGTTGTGTGTGTGTGCTTCGTATGTAAGGAATAATGGTGATGGCTAAATGTATACATTAACCTGCCTGTTATAGTGTGTTAAGGTAAGACTGTGATTCTAGAACTGCAAGAGAACCCAGAGGCATCCAGAGTGGTGTTACTGACAAATGGGCCTTTGTGAGTCTCATGTTTGGAGAGAGGCTGGGTGTGTCCTCATTTCAGGAGAGCAGTTGGTCCTGTTAAGGTCACGCATGATGATTGCTGTTGCCTGAGTTCAATTATGAGTGGAGGGCACTGTAAGGGGTTTGAGTGGCCAAGGGAGTGGACAGTGCCAGGTGGTCTCTGGTGTCTAAGTTCCACCTTTCATCCAGGCTGACTTTCCTTTTTTTTTCTTTCAAGATTCATTTATTTATGCATACAAGAGCTTGGGTGCAGGCCAGAGATGTGGGGGGTGAGAGGATTCACCAGAGACAGAGTGGGGAGCAGAACAGGCAGATCTACTGAAATACACTGCTGAGGGGAGCAGCGGGCAAGACAAGAGAGGTCTGCTGCGCCATGTGGGTAGCTCCCTGGCCGGGGATTGAGCTAGTGCTGGGGCTGCAGATAGCTTCATAGTGCTGTGTCTTAACCCCTTGAGTCACCAGGGAGGCCCCTGGACTGACTTTTCATCTTGATTTTTAAAAAGGCAAATTCTTTTGTATTTTTGCAAAATAATTAAAAGTTTGTCTTATGTTCTATAAGCTATGCTCCTGGTTTAATGGTCTTTGGACATTTTAACACATTTTCCTCTCTGGGAAATTGTGGGTCCTGGGGCCCTGGGTACACCCTGAAGGTCCACTACAAGTGGACATGAGCAGACAGTTGTGAACATCCTCCGTAAACTGTGACACTGTGTCCAAGCAAGGTGGGCTTATGTCAAGGTCACAACTTTCAGTCTATCCAGAAGCCACCCCCCACCCCCAACCGCAGCAACTTGAGACCTGGGCTCAATGCTGGTTCATCTGCAGAGAACTGAGTCTGAGCCTCGTGTCTCAACCCCTCTGGCCCCAAACTTTGGAAAGGAGAGCTAGAAGGACAACACAGGTTTAGATATGAAAAGCAACTGCTCCTCCTGAATGCTTTATTGGGGGCTTTCAGTGGCTCTAAGCAGGAGCGGCAGTGACACCCAGACCCTCTCCCAACATGCAAAAGGCACAGGAAAGTGAGACACGACCAGGGTGGGCAGCGTGGATGCAGAGACCCCCCTGCGTGACATGGTGAGGAGCCCCAGGAGTGATGGGAAAGGTGGGCATTAAAGGAGATGGCTTTGGCAGAGGCTGGGAGAGGGACCCAAGGACATCGACCTCCAGACCCACCCCTGCGCTCGGGCCGGGACTGACCTTCCGAGAGAAAGTCAACATGGCTTTACTGAAAGTCACTTCACATGGTGGGAAAACGCAACTCCAGGCAGGGAGAGGATGAGGACAGGATGTGGTGGCTGCCTGCAGGGACTTCTGGTAAAGTGCCAAACCCCAAACCAGGAGGAGAATGAGAGAGGTGTTCCTGGTGTCGGTCCCAGACATGGCCTGGTGGTTGGGTGCCACTGCCTCGGCTCCAGCCAGTGCCGTCTCAGTCCATGGCCAGGAGAAGACGAAGCCCCTTTGGTCTTCAGGGGCCGCCCGCAGGGTCTCCCGGTCTCCAGCCCCACCCAGAGGTACTACTTAGAAGAGTGGAGTCTTGATGTTGGCTTTGTCCTGTGGAAGAGTTCCCTGGGCAAGAGGGAAGGGAGGCCAGGGGTCAGACTCTCTGCGCCCCAGCACCTCCCAAATCTGGGCCCTGGTGGATGAAATGACCTGGGACTCACCTCAGATCCTAACCAGTGCCCACAGTTCATCTGGAGACCTCGGATCGAAAGAAAAGGCGTTCGTGTTCTGCTTCTGTCCTCTCTCGCTTACTCTCTCTCTGCTTTAGCGGAGTCGTGGCCTCAACTCGCGGCATTGGCAACGTCTACTTCTAAACTATGGAATGTTTCACATTGACGATAGAATTACTCCGGACAAGGGGCGGGGAGGGGCTGCCCAGATGTTCATGAGACAGTGCGTTACTGAGAGCTCGTTGGGAATCACACAGCACAGAGACACCGACAGTCAGACACCAGCCAGGCTGGCTCTAGATGTATTTTTTCTTGAGGTACCAGTAGGCAAAGTAGCCCATCCCGCCCAGGGAGCCCATGAGGAAGGACGCCCCAAAGAAAGACGGTGGTTTCCGCTTGACCAGCCGGAAGGCGTTGGGAATGACGGCCGACAGCAGGGTCGTGTGGATGTCCCCCAGAACTTTCCGGAAGGCAAAGCGCTTCTGGACCCTCTCGAAGAAGGACTGCAGGTTGGGCCGGCTGCCGTCTTCCCAGTATTTCTTGGACAGTCCCAGGAACTTGAGGCGGTGCAGCGTGGCTCCCAGGAGGACGTCGGCCAGCGTGAAGGCACAGCCGCAGAGCCACAGCTCACACTTCTGCCCTGCGGGGGTTGAGAGGAGCGGGAGGAGAGGGATCAGCCCTTCTCCCTGATGCCCACGTCTCTCTGGTTGGTCCTGACTTTTGTCTGCTTGCTGTGGTTTCCCCAAAGTCATTCATGCCTGTACAACTTGGCTGATTTTTGCCTTACCTTTGAACTACCTCTACTGTTATTTTTTCCTTTGAATCAACTGACTTTTTAAGTGCAAATATGTGTATTCAAACCCTCGTCTCATATACCCAACTGTCCGTTCTACATCTCCACTGGGGTGCCCACATTGCATTCAACCCCAGCTGAATGCCTGATCATCACCCTCAAGCCCAGCACCCTGCACGCCAGTAAAATCACCTCCACACCTCTGGTTGCCCAGGCCTAATGCCTCAAGCCTCGTTCTCTTTCTCTCAAGTCCTTCTCTTTCTTTCATTCCGCAATACAATTTGTGAGCAATTCCCAGCCACTTTATCTTCAAAATACACCCAGACCCCCAACCATCCTGGTGCCAATTAACTCTAACCTGACACGTGCCCTTCAACGGTTTCCTGTTACAGCCCGTGAGTCCCTACAGTCTACTCTCCGCTCAGCAGCAGGAGGGGGCCTGCTGAAACCTGAGTCAGATCACGTCACTTCCCTGCTCAGAATCCTCTCGTGACTCACCATGCTGGACAAAGCAAAACTGAAGCCCCTCCAGGGGCCTAGAGGCTCCAGGGGATCTGACCCTGAGGAACCTTTCAGACCCTGGACGACTCTTCTCCCCCCCAACTGCACCCCAAGTCCCTCTTCTTTGGTCACCTGGCCTCTTTGTGGGTGCTCTTGTGGGCATGTTCCCATCAGGACCTTTGCACTTGCTGTTCCCTCTGCCTGGAGCAATCTCCTGCCCCCCACCTTCCCTAGTCACCACCCCATTTCACTTTCCTTCTGCAGCTGAACTTCCTGAGTCCTCTGCTTGAGCTTCCTCCCTCCCTGGGGTCTCTGGTTCAGGGGAAAGCCAGTTGTCTTAAAGAACTTCGAGCAGCCGGACAGAAGTGCCTATGTGGTGAGGTCTCTGGCCAACAGCCAGTGGGGAACCGAGACCCCTAGTTAAGAACCATGTCCCCAAGCCATCTCAGAAGTGGATGGAGCCTCCAGCTCAAATGACTGCAAGGCCCACGAACAGCTTGGCTGCACTGGCATCACAGAAGCCCAAATTAGAACCACCCAGCCAAGTGCTTCTGAATTCCTGACTCACAAAAATGTGTGATGTATGTTTCTGGCTTATCACAAAAATGTGTGATATAATAAATGTTTTTGGTTTAAGCCACTAAAGTTCAGGAACAGTTTGTTACACAGCAACAGATAACTAATACAGCAGGTCTCGGTTCCTCTTTCTGTCTCCCTCCACTCGCTCCTCGATGAAACCATCCAGTTCTACAGCTTTACACATCATCTTGAATAAGCCCAGTTATCTTGCCACAGGGCAGTGAAATGCTGCCTTCTCTTGGGAGACCTCCAGACCACAGCAGAGAGTGGGGATAGGAGACTCCCCATCTAGGGACCACCCGAGGATGCTTGTCCAAAGCTGTTCTCTAGGACCTTCCACTCTGGCCTCTATCAGGTTAGACCCTGATCTCCCTGGATCATACAGGCAGTTCATATTTCCAGACACTTCCATACCACATGCCGGGCAATGTCCTAAGCCACTCACATGCATTTTCATATGGATCCTCACAACAGTCCTTCTACAGAACAGAAGAGGCACTGAGCTGGGGCTCTTCCATCTGTGTGACCTTGGGAAGGCTGCTGAACCCCCTGTGACTTCCTTCCCTGTTAACTGGGGCTACTAATATTACTGCCTTCTGGACTTGTTATGGGGATTAAATGATTTGCAATATGTGAAATACTTAGAGCAGTTCCTGGCATGCAGTAAGCACTACTAAATATATAAATTGAATGGGCTGAAATGCATCCCTGCTCTTTCCCCAACGCCCCTCCCCAGTCATTTGTTAAAGCCCTGCTATCTCAGAATATGACTATATTTGGAGAAGGGACCTTCAAAGAGATGAGTAAGTCAAAATAGGCCATTAGGGCTGGCCCTAATAGAATCTGGTGATGTCCTGATAAGAAAAGGAAGTTTTGTCACACAGACCCTGGGGCAAGTCTACAGAGGAGGGGCCCCTTGAGGACACAGTCAGAGGTAGATGTCTGCAGGCCAAGGAGAGCGGCCTCAGAGAGCCAAACCTGCCAACACCTTGATCTTGGACTTCTAGCCTTCAGAACTGTGGGGAAGGAAATCTCTGCTGTTTAAGCCACCCTCTGTGATGCTTTGATACGGTAGCCCTAGAAAACTTGATACATAAACACATAAAGTACACCTAAGAATCAAGGGCATCCCATGGGCCAGTATTGGAAATGCCATGCCCTTTGAGCCCTCAGCACTCTTCCAGAATGGCTCCCCTCAAGCACCCTCTGACAGAAATGAGACAGTTCCTTGGGCCTTGCTGGTGGCGCAAGGGGTTAAGTTGCAGCTCTATGAAGCTATCAGCAGCCACTGCAGTATGAGTTGGATCCCCTGATCCTCTGGCCAGGGAGCTGACCCACATGGCACAGCAGACCTCTCCTGTCTCGCCCGCTGCTCCCCTCAGCAGTGTATTTCAGTGGATCTGCCTGTTCTGCTCCCCACTCTGTCTCTGGTGAATCCTCTCACCACCCGCACCTCTGGCCTGTACCCCAGTTCTTGTATGCATAAATAAATATTTTTTAAAAAGACTGTTTCTCCTTGAGGTCTGTGTTATTTTTACTCATGTATCCATACCATATTTTTTTCCAGAGAGGATTCAAGGAGTCATGTGAAGGTGTCTTGTGTGGGGGACCTCAGCTATGAGATGTTGGAAGAACATGGTCCCATTGAGAGGGCACAAATATTTTTCTTTAAAGATTTATCTTTTGGGCCTCCCCGGTGGCGCAGCGGTTGAGCGCTGGGTTGCGAAGCTGTCCACGGCCTCTGAGGCGCGGGTTCTATCCCCGGCTGCTCCCCGGCCACCGGAGGAGGGTCCCACATGGCGCGCAGACCTCTCCTGCCGCCCGCTGCTCCCCTCAGCAGTGTACTTCGGTCCTTCTGCCTGTTGTGCTCCCCGCTCTGGCTCTGGTGAATTCTCTCACCCTCCCGCGCTTCTGACTGTACCCAGTGCATGTATAAACAAAACAAACAAACAAATAAATAAATAAATAAAACATGCCTCTATAAAAAAAAATAAATAAATAAAGATTTATCTTTTATTTATGCATACAAGAGCTGGGGTGCCCGCCAGAGGTGCGGGGGGGGGTGGGGGGTGAGAGGATTTACCAGAGACAGAGTGGGGAGCAGAACAGGCAGACCAACTGAAATACACTGTTGAGGGGAGCAGCGGGTGAGACAGGAGAGGTCTGCTGTGCCATGTGGGTCAGCTCCCTGGCTAGGGATTAAACTCGTGCTGCAGTGGCTGCTGATAGCTTCAAAGTGCTGAGACTTAATGCCTTAGGCCACCAGGGAGGTTCTGGGACATCTATTCTTACCCAAACAGCATCTTATGAGCTGTGTGGCCATGAGCAAGTCACTTATTTCTCTGAGGCTGTTTTTCCATTTGGGGAATATGTGAGCTCGTAGCTGTCATATGTATTAAACTAGTGTGTTCCAGGCACTGTGCTGAGTGCTTTTCACTTTTTATGAGTCCAGCAAGGTGAGGGTCAGGTTGTATTTTAAGTTGTATTATTAACATCCCATTTATAGATGAGGAAACTGAGGCTCCAAAAGCAAAAGCAACCTGTCCAAGTCAGCTGGAGCTCTAACTCACATCCACCTGACTCTCACCCATGTCTTAGAGCACCGTGCTCCACAATCTTCCCCCTACCTAGACATGTGTGTGTGTGTGTGTGTGTGAGGCTGTGAGTGTAGCAGGGTGCTCTGTGTAGGCTGCATAAATTTGCATAGTTGATGATAAGATTTATAGGTTACCTAAAACAGAGCAAGCCGGGAAGATTCAGAATGAAATTTGAAGAAAGGTGCTGTGAGAATAGTGTATAAAAGGGAAAAGGAGCAGAATGGTGAGTGTACTCCAGGCTGGAAAGGCTGTGGGAGCCAAGGTGTGAAGATGGGAATGCAGCTGGTGTGCTCAGGTCTGGAGGAGCTGCTTGAGCTGGAGTTAAGGTCAGAGTCTGGGTGAGCCTGGATGTCTGGCTGCAGCAGGAAGAGGCTGTGTCCTCAGGGGAAGGGTGAAATGGTATGGTGGGGAGTGATCACCACCACCACCATTATCTCCACCAAACTTTATTAAATTCTACTATGTGCTAAGTGCTCTGTGTGAATCGCTCCATGCAGCGTCTCAACAACTCTCTGAGGCAGGCTCTATTATTATCCCCATTACAGATGGGAAACTGAAGGGCCAGAGAGGCAAAGTACCTGACTCACAGTCTCTTAACTAGTAAATGGCCAACCTAGGGCTTAAACCAAGGTCTTGTAGTCCATGATCCTAACCATCTGGGATGCCCTCTGAGGTCTTTTGGATAAAAGAGACTGGGACTGGACAAGGGCAGGTAGGGCTGGATGGGTTCCAGCACCCACCTACCCACGAGCTGCCACCTACCCTCGTTCTCCAGCTTCCTCTTCTCCAGCTCAGCCTCGATCTGGTCCAGCACCATGGCCAGCTCCCCGAGGATCTTCTTCAGGTAGCTCACGTCATCATGCTCCAGGATCTTGGCCTAAAGGGTGGGACAGGCAGGAGCCAGAAGGGCTGAGTTGACCTCAAGAAAGACCAAGGATGGAAGGAGCTTGGCCCAACCCCTCTCTGCAAACCTCTTTCAAATATCTTCTGCAGTGTCTAGTAGGCCTCACTGTTACAAAGCACTCTGATCTGGCATGCACAACAGCTCTGGGCTTGGGTGTCCTGCCCAGATCCCTTTTCTGGGTCTGGTATACTCATGCACCCAGCTGTGAGGGTTAACTGATAGTGGCTCATAGCTCCCCCTTCTCAATGGAATTTTCTCTTGGACAAAGAAGAGCTGCCTGGAAATACTTGGGAGGTTACCCCACTATCTTCCCTGCAAGGCATATACAGGCAATGACTGGCTGATGTAGGGGTATAAAAGGCCGGCCTTTTGTCTCAAGTTGATTGATTCTGTGGTACCCACCACATATGCTCAGAGCAGCCTATGGTATCAGGTGAATTTGGTCCTTCCTCCTTCCTGTCCGTCCTGCCCCTACTGAATTCTCCTCAGAGCACACCTCAATATTTCACTTACCTGAGAACCTGTGTCCAGTGCTCTCTGCTTTTAGGGATACAACCTAAGACATGATAGAACAGAGGCTCCAGGGGGACAGCAACTTGCCCAAGGTAATTAACCAGTAAATAAATGACAGACGAGGTGGGGCTGGAAAAGCAAGCCAGTAGTTTTCCTATTTCGTGTTATCAGCTGATCCTCCACTTAGAACAAGCTTCTCCCGGTTGTTATGTTACAGGGAAAGGACAGTGGGGGAGAGGAAGGGACACAGACACTCACCATGAGTTTCTTCTGTTTAGAAAGGTAGGGCTCAGAGAGTTGGGGCTCCTCTTCATGGTCCAATTTCATGAGGTCTGTGGTGGCGTTGGCTAAATGTCCTGGGGAGAGAATGGGGGTGGTCCTTCCTTCTGATACCAGTGCTGCCTCCATCCCTTCCCCCCACCCCCCACAGCTTGGAGTGGTCCCATTCAAACACTGATCTGGGAAGTAACAATACCAGCAGCCAACACTGTTCCTTTAAAATCCAGGACAGGTCTTGGCAGAACAAGAGCCCATGAGGGATGAATGAATGAATACATGAATGAATGAATGGTAATGAGTGAGAGAATGACTATAACTGTTCAGTCTCTGCCTTTTGAGATTTAATCATTCACCACCCTACTTCCTGGCCTGACACCTCCCTACTCCCACCCCAGTAAGCATTCTCTCAGCTCTTTCAGCTTTGGGGCTCTATTAAGTTTCATGGATGTTGATGAATGTGAAGGTCAAATACAGCATCCTCTCCTGCCAGTCGCCTGGAACTGCCCAGGTGGTCTCTTTAGACTCCAGGAGGGCAGATCAGGCCTAGGAAGGACTTTGGACTGACGGGGTGGGGGGTCACCTCAGGATGACTTGTGCACCCTTTGAAGTACCTCTTCCTCTCCCCAAGCTGGGCACAAACCCCGAGATCTCCTGGGCCTCCTCAAAGGAGAAAGTGGACTGGCTCTGCTCTGGATCCTCCATGCCTTCTAGATAGAAGCGTTCTGTTTTTTTTAAACAACTGCACAGCCCTTGGTTATTGCAGCCATTCATACAAGTCATCCTCTGGTGACACCCGCCCCCCCCCCCCCCAGTCAGCCCAAGGTCCTCCTGGGCTTGGTCTGCCCTTTTGGAGTCTAACGAGACCACATGGGCAGTTCCAGGGAAGTGGTAAGAGAAAAGCTGCTGCATTTGACCTTCACTTTCATAAAACATCCATGAAACTTAATATAGCCCCAAAGCTGAAAGCTGGGTGCACACGTCCGTGTGTAACTGCAGGAGAAGCTCCATGGCCTGGGCCTTTTCCTTTTTGACCCAGAGGGCCAGGCTACCCTCCGGACAGATGGGTCAATGTCCTTTGTCTGCCCTGGAATGACTACTTGTCATCTTTCTGCCCCCAGGGAGCTATGGCCCTGAGATGGTAGCAGCTGTGCCTGTCCCATTTGACCCAAGCCCCCTGCCCAGGGCCTGGGTTTTTGACTGAGGGGTCAACAACCCCTTATATGCTGTTCACTGAGGGGCAACAGGACAATGTAGGTAGATCCTGCTTCTTGTCCACAGCTGTAAGGAGAGGAGACTGAATTCCACTCTTGTCCCCTTCCCCACCTTCGACCATCAGCCTCATTCCTTTGGCAGGGAGAAGGTGACACTGAACAACAGTTGTCTCCTTAGAGGCATCACTCTCCTGCTGTCTACAGGACTTCATGGTGTCTGCATAGAGCCCGGACCAGTCGTTAAAGAGATGCTGATGGATAATCTGATTTAATCCAACTCCCACTGACTGGGTGCTGGGCAGGAAAGGAGCCAGGCTGTGGGCACGAGCAGGCTGGCGGTCAGAGTACCTGGATGATGCTTGAGAAATCAGAGACCTCACTGGGGGCCTGGCCATACCTGGGCAACCTTCCTTGGGGACACCAAACTTGATGTCACTCAGTGCCCTGGGTCTCCAATCACAGTCCTGACTTTCCCGGGCCCTGATCCCAGGGGTCTGGGTCTAGGGCTCCTGTGGGAGGGTGCCCCAGCTCCCCATGGACAACACAGAAGTCTGGGGGGACAGTCAGCCCTGTAGCCTCTGTGTGGAATGCTAGGACAAGAGCAGGGGGCAGGAGAGGGAAATGAGAGAGAGCCCCGGAGAAAGGGGTTGGGGGTGAGAATAAGGTACCCCAGCAGGAGGAAGAGGAGGAGGGCAAAGAAGAGGGCCCTGGGGGGCTCTGGCGGCAGCCCCGCACTCACTGCGGATCTCGGCCGTGGCGTACTTGGGGATCATGGAGTCGGTGGTGAGCTCAGGGTGCAGGATGCAGCCGTGCGTGTAGGCGTCCATGGGCAGCGCGTCCAGCAGCTCCCGGTACTGCAGCACCCGTGCGTGCTGAGGGCTGCCCGCCTCGGGCATCAGGGCCACCACGTGCTCTGCGGGCACCGGGACTGGCGTGTGGGCGGGCCGGGGCCAACCTCACTGCCCACCTCCCGATTCAAACAGACCAGCTTCTGGCACCACCCCCACCCCAGCATCTTGGAACTCTGAACCCCTTGTGGCACTGCCCACCCGCCCCTGACTGGTGATAAAGTCCCCACCCGCTGAGAGGGGATCTTTTGGGTGGGGCCACTTCCTCACTGGAAGCAGCCCAGCTGTGCCCTGGGGGCAGTTCCTCTCAGCTCTAGGCTTGTTGCCAGACTTCAAGAGCAACTGGAAACCTCAGTATTTAATACCGAACTCTCCTTGATTTTTAAGTGTTGGCAATTCATTCGTAGTCTTTTTAAACAGTGCAGGTCAGAACCCCAACCCCTCCCAGCAGCTGTTTGAAGTCTCTGCCAAGGCCAGCAAGCTCCTAAAGCTGAGAAAGGCCAAAGAGGGGGAGAGGGCATAGGGTTCTGTGGGATTCTGGGGTGTCGTGGGGTTCCTGGGCATGCTTACAGGATGACTGTGCTTACAGGAGTGTTTCAGAGCCCTGGACCCGACCCAAGCTCTAGCATCCCTGGAAGATCTGGGCCCTGCCTGTGGGGTTAGCAGGGCTTGGGGCCTGCTAGGGCCTGAGGGGCTGTAGCGGTGCCTGTGACTCCGGGGCTCTTGAAGAGGGAGGTCATAGCCCCTGAGCTCCTTAGGGGAGTGTCTGAGCCATGCCATCTCCCTGGAGTGTCAGAGGGGGTGTCTGTGGGTCCCCCAGGGATTTATGGCTGCGCCCATGCTCTGCAGTTCCTGGGGGGCATCTGAGCCCTGCCTGGAGCCTCATGATTCCTTTCTGGGGAGACTGGGACTCCCCCATGGCCCCAGTGGGTTTCCCCTGACCTCCGTGGCCCCTGCCTGAGTCCGCGGGGCCCCAGGGCCCGTGCTCACCCCAGCGGGTGGGGCAGCCATACCTCCCGTGAAGGTGCGCTCCACGTAGTCGATGATCTGGTCGTAGTCGCTGATGATGTTGTCGCGGTGGATGATGACCGGCACCTCCTCGCCCAGGTTGAGCCGCATGAACCAGGGCTCCTTGTGCTCGCTCTGCGGCAGGCTGACATCCCGCTCCTCACACACCAGGCCCTTCTCGGCGATCACCAGCCGCACCTGCAGGTGCCAGGGTCAGAGCGGGGAAGGCGGCGGACACTGCCTGGGCGGGCGGGGCGTGCGGGGAGGGAGTCACACACAGGAGGGACACGTTGCTTCCTGCCCATTCTCGTGCATCTGGCGGGGGTGGGGACCATGGGGGTGGGGACCATGGGGGTGGAGGGTGTGATCTCCCAGGTGCCTGGTGATGGAGGAGGATATTTCCCCTCTGGGGAAGAGGGGCGGTGCTGCCTGGTGCCCAGGGCCAGGGGTTCATAGCTGGACACACCTGCGGAGATTTCTAGCTCTGCTGTGTGAGTTTGGGCAGATTCCTTGAACTTTCTGAGCCTCAGTTCCCTTATTTGCAAAATGGAAGCCTTAATAGCACAGCATAGTGCCGGGCATGCAGACAGCACTGGGTGATTGTGAGTGGACTCGGTCTGGCCTCAGCAGTGGATCTGGTCAGGAAATTTGCATAAATTCGTATATAATCAACAGCCAAAAATACTCAATTATTTGGGAAACAAAGCAAGGTGAAGAATAATTTGCCAGTATCAGTCAAGCCTTTTATTTCCCCCAATACCTTCCCATATGGTTGTTAGACAGTAGCCTCCAGAGAAGGGCAGAGCAGGAACTATCGCTCTGTTTTTCTTTCTCTTTTAGAGATTTATTTTTTTTATTTATGCAAAAAAGAACTGGGGTGTAGGCCAGAGGTATGGAGGGTGAGAGGACTCACCAGAGACAGAACAGGGAATAGAACAGGCAGATCTACTGAAATACACTGCTGAGGGGAGCAGCGGAGTGAGACCGGAGAGGTCTGCTGCACCATGTGGGTCACCTCCCTGGCAGGGGATCGAAACCGTGCTGCAGTAGCTGTTGATAGCTTGATAGCACTGAGACTTTAACCCCTGTGCCACCAAGGAGGCCCTCTTTGTTTTTCTTGATGAGAAAACAAAAACCCAGGTTTTGAAGGCAGACCAACCTGAACTTGAAGTCTGCTTCTGCTATTAATTTGCTGTGTGACCTTGGGCAATTCAGTTGACCTATGTGATCCCTAGTTTTTGTGAAATGAGGACGTGGTCCACTCCTTCAAGAGTGGTACCAAGGAGGCTGAGATGGGATGACTTGGATTAAGTCCCAGCATGGGAAGTTGGTACATGGGTTTTAATGTCACTATTAATAAGACTTTACTACCACATACACACACAGAGAGACACACCACCAACTGCCCTGCACCCCTGGTTGATGTCCTAGAGTGCTAACATGAACAACCCTTAAGTTTGGTTGACTGTGGGAAGGGAGAACATTCATTCACAGTAGAATTTGCTTCATTAGCCAGAAGTGGGTCCTGCAGGTGGGGCTGGGAGGCAGGGACCCGGACCCTCACCTCTGCCACAACTTTGCTATGTGACCTTAGAACTACCACTGCCCCTTTCTGAGCCTCCTTTTTCTCATTAGTAAAACAAGAGTCTGGACAAGAGCTGTGCTTCGAGCTGACACTACATCAGACCTTGCAGGAGTCAGGACTGGCTCCGCCACCCCTCCCCAGCAGCGGGAGGGAACTGCAGGTTCTGTCTGAGAGTGGGGAGGAACTGTGGCAGAGTGAGCATGGGGGAGGCATCTGTTGGGTCTGGGTGTGTGAGTGTGTGGGTGTGGGAGTGCATGCACCTAAGCATGAGTGGGAAGGGGGCGTTGAGTGCGTGTGTGCATGCGGGTAGGTGTATCTGGATGAGTGTATGAGTGTGAGCATTAGAGATCGCATGTGTGTGCAGCAGACACATGGGCACAGACCCATGTATCTGTAGGTGAGAGCATGCCTGAGTGGGTATATTTGAACTCATGGGTGATGCCCACGCCCTGGAGGAGTCCCAGAACAGTCAAAGCTGGGGTTCTCTGGAGCTGAAGGCCTTTTTCCCTTCCTCCTGCCCATCCTGGTGTCCACTGGCCTCAGAGAGCAGGCTCCCTTGGCCATCCAGCCTCTGGACCAGGCTGAAATCAGACCAGGTCTTTGGGTTGGCAGGACCAGGTATTTGGCTTTCTGTCCTGGCAGGGGGCCTGCCTCCAGGGACAATTCCCAGAGCTCTTGCCCTGGGACTCAACTGAGGGTGCCAGGTGGGGCTGCTGCCTGGGGAGGGGACTATCTTAGAGGCACAACAGTCCTGCTTGGAGCTGTCTCTGGGTCATGCCAGCAGGCGGCCAAGGAGACTTTCTCCTTCAGCTGAGCTTCAGGCCAGAGCTGTGTGCTGTCCTGCGGGGGAGGGGACACGGGAGGAAGCCAGGCCTGGGGGAAGGGCACGCATCTACCAAGGCCATCTGCCATCTCTGCCTCCCCAAGCCTGGCCCAGGCTGTGATCACCGCTCAGTGTGACAGATCAACCACCCAGGGCAAATGATCTTTCCTGTGGGTGCCTGGAAGTCACCCATGGGTATGTCATTGTCACTATTAGGTGCTGTCCTTCTTCACCCGGGCCCTTGTTTATGAGGGCTGGCGATGGGGTGAGCTGGCGTCTTTGCCTAGCATTTTAGTTGCTGTGTGACTCTGTAAAAGACACTTAGAGTCTCTGTGCCTCTGTTTGTTTATCTCAAATACTTCTTAAAAAATTCATGAACTATTTCTTGGAGCAGTTTTAGGCTGACAGAATTGAATAGGTTTGTTAACTCTACCACCTTATGGTTATAAATCCATCGCTTTTATTTCACACTTTATTCATGTATTCATCACACTTAGTCACCGAGTGCCCACTCTGCACCAGATCCTGTTCTCAGTGCCGGAGACTCAGCTCCCTGCCCTTAGGGAGATGGCATGCAAGCGGGACAGGCAGGTGTACCAGGTAAAGTAAGAAGCTGCATCAAAAGATGGTGAGTTCGCAGTAATAAAGAAAAACACCGAGCAAGATAAAAGGATCTGGAGATGCCAGAGCCCAGCAGGGGGATGGCTGACAACTTAAAATAGTGTGATCCTTTCTGAGATGGAGACATTTGGGCAAAGGCGAGCGTGAGTGTCCCCACAGGGGAGTCAGGCAGAAGAGAAGCTGGTGCAAAGGCCCTGAGGCTGGGGCATGACTGCATGTTTGACTAACAGTGAGGAGGCCTGGGTGCCCGGCTGAGGGTGGATGGGAGACAATGTGAGGAGGCAGAGGGATTGTGCTTTTAATTGAAACACCCAGACCCAAGGGTCCATGAATTCAGGGAGTCCTTGACCTTGGATGGGAAAATTGCGTGTTTATTTTCAGTAATCTCAAACTGACAGCTTTTTCTTCAATTATGAGTGTGGGCGGCCAAGCCTGGTAGTGTTAGCAGTGCCTGGATATATTGTCACCAATCGAAGTCAGATCCAGCCCCCCTTCACAGTTGTTGTAGTGACATTCCTCACGACTCCCCATCACAGCAGTTAGCAGACCTGCCTCTAGCCAGTTACATAATGGGTTAATCCAGAAACATTTGTTATTATATAACAGCTATTTTTTTAAACTATGTGGATGCTATTCTTCAATAGGATTGGTTTCCCTTCTAATCAAACCATCCCATGAGACTTATTTTATTCAATTAAAGGCAATGTTTTGAGAAAGGTGCAGAGGCTTCCCTGAGAGATGAGGGGTCCATGATCCAAGCAAAGTTTGGATCCCACGGTAAGACCTGGGGTTGCTGTAGGTATGCTTGGCTTTTTCCTGGAGTGACCTGGTGTCAGAGCAGAGGGGTGTTGAGATCTGCAGTTCTCAGCTGTGTGCCTGGGGAGGGAAGGCAGTGCGGGGCGAGCCAGCAAGGCCAGGACTGGGGGGACCAGTGCCCAAGAGCTTGCAGAGCAAGGCCCAGAGAGGGAGGGAGCAATAACAGGTCACTGTCCTTCCCTACTGCCATGTAGGGCAGGACTCCAGGACATCTGCTTGGTCTCGGGCATGAGAACTGACCCCTGTTCAGACCCAGAGCCAGGTCTCTAATTTCTAGGGGATGAAGGCCAGGCCAAGGGCTCCCCATAGGTATATCCAAGACAAAAGCTGGCCCTGAGCAGATGGGGTAAGGGAACTTTGAACCAGGCCTGCTACAGGGAGCCAGGGCTGGCCCTCCAAGACTCACCCTGGTGGAAGCAGCAACAGCAATAGCCAACTCTTATATAGCGTTTTTCTAAGGCCTTTACATATATTAACCCACTTAATCTTGCAAAAGCCTAATGCGCTCATTCCTAGTATCAAGCTCATTTTACAAAAGCAGAAACAGACACAGAGAGAGTAAGTAACTTGCCCAAAGTCACACAGCTAGTAAGTAGCAATCTTGGTTTTGAAAAAAATGACGGTGTGAGGACAGAAGGACACTCAAAGAGCTCAGAGCACAGAGGTAAGACAGCTCTTCCTGCCTGGGGAGGGAGGGAGGCAGCTTGTCTCAGACAGCAAGACTATTTTCCTGTTGAGGAAGCTGAGGACCAGAGACCATTAGGACTTACCCAGGTCACACAGCCAGTGAGTGGGAATGCTTGGTGTTTTACTGGTGTTTTAACTCCCTTCGACATGAGGAAGCTTGGGGCAGGAAGAGCCTCAGAAGCATGCTAGCACACATCTAGAGTCTCCTCCGAGCCACGTGTCCCTATGTTTGTGCCTGAAAGTTCACTATTGTGACATTGCTCTAAGGGTGTGACCAGCTCAAGACGGTTGCCTCTTCACATCCCTCTGTGTATCTGCAGCTCTTGCTCCTAAACAGCTGAGGAGAGCCTCAAAGCTGGGGCATGGCAGAGGTGGGGTGTGCCCTCCTGTCCTGCAAGTACAACAGCACTAACTGAGCACTCTGCCTCCCAGGTGCTGTTCTAGGTGATTTGTCTGGATTGTTTTGTGATTCCTCACAAGTATCCTACCAGGGAGGTGCTATTGTCCACCCCCCACCCCCACCTCACCCCAGTAGTGGGGCGACTACCCAGCTGGTTAGTAGTGGGGCTGAGACTGGATCCATGGTGGTATGGCCGTGGGGTTTGGGCTCTGGGCCCCCTCGTGTCATGATGCCCTCCAGCTCTGGCATAGTCCCTAGGGGCTCATGGCCACCGCCATACCTGGGGGTGGGCTATTTTCTGTTGTCAGTAGTTCATGTGCCATTAAGGACAGGCTTCTGAGGGAGCTGGTGCATGCAGGGACCAGCTCCCTGTCCGCAGGTCCTTCAGGAATGAAGGGAGGGAAGGAAACTCACCCACTAAGCAACTGCTACATGTCCTCTCAGTCCTGCCCGAATTCCCTACATAGGTCCTCTCAATCCTGCAGGAATTCCCAGATGAGGATGTTGAGGCACAGGGAGGTAATGTGATTTGCCCAAGGTCACATAGCCATGAAGCATTCGAGATGAAACTGGAGCCCAGTCTGACTGCAGAGCCTTTGCACCAGGCTACACTGCCTCTAGAACCTACCATGGACCCTTGGGCCATATGATGGCCCTGATGGGAGCGGGTGGAGGATGCCCAGGCTACACTGGTCAGAGGCTTGTTTACAAGTGGAATTGCAGTGAGTGGTTCCGTCCCTAACTAAAGTGTCACCTTAGCCCTGCGTTCAGGCCGAATAGGAATTATTCCATGAAAGGAAGAGCAAGAAGCTCCTTCAGGGATGGTGATGGGAGGTGTCACCACCCCCTACCCCCCGCCCTCTATCTGGTCCCCCAGCTACGGGGGCCTGGCTCCTCTGTGTGGGAGGTGATTCAGGAGTCTGGAGGTCAGTCTGCTTTATCTCTAACCTCCCAACAAACGGCTAGGGACTGGCACCCAGTAGGTGCTCAGCAAGCATGGGAGGCACACAGAGGAGTCCCAGGGTGACCTTGGTGAACACACCCCATTACCTGACACTTTAGTGACATCAGAACACCTATATCCTGACAGACTTAGCCCGCGCCAGGCACTGCCATCAGCACTTTTTGTGCCTCGTCTCCTTTGCATCCACAAAAGCCTTTGAGGAAGGTGCTGCCATGACTCCATTTTATAGATTATAAAACTGAAGCTTTGGAAAGGCAAAGTGGTCTGTCCAGAGATCGACGGTGAATTTCGGGGGAAATAGCTCTTCCCCTGGGGACTCTCTGACCTCAGGGTCTACTCAGAGGTGGACCAGCTTGGTCATCATCACCTGGTAGCTTGTTGGCAATGCAGCAGCTGGGGCCTCCCTCCAGACCTACTGAATCAGAACCTCTGGATGGGACCCAGCAGCCTGTGTTTGAACCAGCATCAGGCAGTGAGCCGATGAAAGCTCGAGTTTGAGCAGTGCCCGCCTAGGACTCTAAGCTACACTGCCTCTTCACAGTCCTCTCAGCAGCCCTGAGAATGGGTTGGAATTAGAATGCTCTATTATTGTTGTTATTACTATTTCTGTTGTATATCCCATTTTCCAGATGTGGAACTGAACCAAGACTCAAACCCAAGTCTTTTGTTTCCAAGGGCCTTTCTCTGTAGGGAATCTGTTTCTGCATCTGGAAAATGAGTGAGTGAAGCCAAAGAATCTTCCAGGGAGAAGACAGGTCCCCGGGTGCCTCTTGGGCCCAGCAGGACCTGGGGCTGCTGCGCCCTGGCCATGGTGCTGAATCCTTGCCTCCAGCTCTTAACAGGGTGGGGGATTGTGCCCCTACAGGCGCCGGCGTCTTACAGGCCCAGAGCCGGGCCCTCACGCTCAGGAAGCGGGAACCCCTATACCTCAGCACCTGGCTGGATTCCCAGCTGGCCCCCACTGATCCTGGGTCTGAGAAGGGGCAGAGGGGCGGTCTGTGCCTTTAAGAGCAAAACATAGATCTTAGGGCCTGAGCCCTGCTGGTCTGGGGAGAGGGTTAACTCCTTCCTTCTCAGCTCAAAATAAAGGGGTGGGGGGTGGGAAACTAGGGCCGACCCTCCAAGTCCAGGCAGAGGAAGGCCCCGGCCAGCGGGGGCAGGGGCCAGAGGAGCTGGGGGGGGGGCAGTAGTATCTGGGACAGCAGCAGGGAGGGAGGGGCTGCGAAGAGGCGACCAGTACTGGAGGCTGGACCCCAGGAACCGCTCCTCCTCCTTCCCCGCAGCAGCCACCCCTTCCTACAGGCCGCCTTCCCGGCCATGCCCATTGCCTGCCCCTGGCCTTTGTCTCTCTCGTCAGTCCTCCAACAGACCAGGTGTTTCCAGGAGGGAAGGGTGCAGAATGGGTGTCCCTAGAATTGGGGACCATGCCCCTGGAGCCCCAGACAGGACTGGTCATTCCCTGGAGAAGAGACTGGCCACCAGACTCCTGGCGCAAAGCAACCCCAGATTCTCCACTCGCGGCCCTCCCCAGGTCCTCAGACCCCTGGCGCCGGCCCCCCCACGATCCCCTCCCCCCACGATCCCCTCCCCCAGCCCGCGCCGCGGGCTCCCCGCTCCCCCGGGCTCTACCTTCTGCGAGCTGAAGGACTGGGTCCAGTGGTACAGAACCAGGCTCTCCTTGGGCCAATGGGCGGGGCTGGACGCCTCGGGCGCCTCTGGGGCCTCCACCGGCTTGGCCGCATCGCTCTCCAGCGCCGAGATGGGCCACCAGCTGCAGTTGGTGGGGGTCAGGTTGTTGGGGGTCGCCATGACAGCCCGGAATCGGAGGGAGAAAAGAAGGAGCCTCCGGTGGCGGCAGCTCGCTCTCGCCCTGCATCACATGGCCTCCGCGAGCCTGCCTCTCTCCCTCGCTGGCTCCCTCCCTCCCTCTCCGTGAATGTCATTACTCACTGGGCGAGTGGGGGAGGGACAGGGGATCCCGGGGCTCCTTCCCTCCTGTCCCCTTGGCCCGCCCCGGCCAGGGCTTGAGAAGCCATCCATCCTCTCCATCAGGCTCCCTGCAAGGATGCAAGCAGACATAGGGGAGTGGGCCATGCCCCCCAAATAGCTCATGTTTGGCCAGTCAGCTGCTGAAGATTCCACCATTATAAATACATTTGGCCTCAATCTTCTAAGAAGCAAGTACCTCTTAGGACAACCGGTTTTGTAGAGACTCACTCCTTTTATTAATGAGTGTCTGGAAATAAACTTGTCTCTCTTTGAAGCTGTTATTTTCTAACTTTTCTCCTAAGGACCTCTAAGGGCAGAAGGAATAAACTATGATTTATTATTGAACAGACACATAGCACTTAGTGTATGCCCAGCCCTCTCCCGAGGGCTTTGCAATCAGCAACTCATTTAGCCCCCGCAAGAATCTTACTAGTCTCATTTTACAGAGAAGGAAACTGAGGCACAGAAAGGCTAAGTGACCTTGCCCAAGGTCACCTAGCTAGTAAGTGGGGGAGCTGAGATTCAAACCCAAGGCTGTCTGGCTCCAGACTCTATGCTCTTAGCCATGAGGTCATGATAACATGATATTAATATAAACAACAGCACAGCAAGCATTTATTAATGTAGGCGTTTTACATGCATCATCTCATTTCATCTGCACAGTAATCATTTTTCCTCGATGAGGAAGGTGAGACTCAGAGATGTCAAGTCATTGGTCCAAGGTCACATCTTCCCTAGAGGAGTCGGAGGCACAGCTCGAGGTGCCCAGAGGACGCCAGTAATGCCTTTGCAGTTACTTAGTTTATTGTAAACATTCATGGGCTCTTTACCTGAAATTCCTTGTATGCCCATGCTTCCCTTCCTATATATATTGTGGTAAAAATTTATTTAGAATTGAGCAAAAGATGCACCAGGAAAATCAGCCTCTCAGCTGCCACCAGCCCCACCCCATGTCATGTCACTCAGTGGTCCTGGGCACATTGCCCTTCAAGGAGTATGGCCCTTGAAAATCAGTGTCCTTCCTTCTACCCCACAACAGAGTTCGGTGGCATGCAGATTTCCCTTTTCGCTTTGGCCGCCAGGAAACTTGTAGCTACATTTTCTGTTAAGTCCCAGTTGCCTGGTTCAACAAATCCTCTTCCTCACCCTTTTATGACATTTTAATTTTTTCTTTCTCCTCAAAGTGTCTTGCTATTCATGCTCTGATTTTGGAAAGGATATGACATGTCTTGAAGGAAAATCCAAATGTCTGAAGCCAAAGAAGCAAGACCTTAAAATTGTGATTGTGGTGGAAAAATTACCCCATCTGTGCTTTTGACCTGAATGCATCCACAGAGCCTGAATCACAGCACTTACACTCAAATGTATGCTCACTCTCTCAAGAAATATTTACTGTGGGGCCTCCCTGGCGGTGCAAGGGGTAAGCACAGCACTAAGAAGCTATCCACAGACTCTGCAGCATGAGTTTGATCCCTGGCCGGCCAGGGAGATACCCACATGGCTCAGCAGACCTCTCCTGTCTCACCCGCTGCTCCCCTCAACAGTGTTTTCAGTCAGTCTGCCTGTTCTGCTCCCCACTCTGTCTGTGGTGAATCTTTTCACCCTCCCACACCTCTGGCCGGTACCCCAGTTCTTGTATGTATACATAAATAAATCTTTTTAAAAAAGAAATACTAACTGTGCATCCTCTAGGTACTAGGTACTTGGATGGCATCAGAGAGATAGTGATAATATGACAGACGTTGGTGTGCTCTTTGCATTTTTTGCTTTGCAATGCATCTTGGAAAGAGTTTCCTATCAGCACAAAAGGTCTAACCCATATTTTATAACAGTCTACACTGCCTGGATGTACCATAACATACTTGCTAAACAACTACTATTGATGGACATATATGCTGTATCTAATCTTGTTATAAAAATGATGCAGTAGATATCCTTATTCACATATATGCAGGCACATGTTTGACTATAACTTCTATGATACATGCCTAGAAATGGCATTGCTGGATGAAAGAATAAATCTTTGTCAAGGTTCCCACCAAGAGGCTGTACCTATGCTCCCCACTAACAATCTAGGAAAGTGTCTTTTTCCCTAAGCCTTGCCAACACGGCATATTTTTAAATATTTTTTTCTTCTTGAATCTACAGGTGAAATGGAACCTTACTTTTTATTTGCTTTTCTTTCATGACTTTTTATCATAAAAATTCAAACACATGAAACAGCAAAGAAAATAGCTCAATGAACACCCACATACCCATCACCTAGATATAGTCATTGTTAAAAATTTGCCATATTTTCTTTAATTTGGGTGGAAGAGTTTGAAGCATTTTGAAATAAATTAAAGGCATCATATTTCACCAACTCAATAATCTAATTTATATCTAACATAGGCCCTCTTCTTACATAAAACAATACTTTTCCCCCCATGTTTAAAAAATTAGCAAAATGGCCCTAATACATAGTTCATATCCAAAGCTCTCCATTTATATTTGAAATGTCTTCATAGCTGATTCCAAGCAGGGTTCAGTCAAGGGCTCTGCAATGAATTCTGTTGTTATATCTCTCAAGTATCTTTTAATCTAGAAGAGTCACCCCTGCATCTTTCCCCCCAAGACAATGACTCATGAAGAGACAGCTGGTTCTCCCCCCTCAAGTTCCACTTTGGGGTCTGACTGTTCATTGCGGTGTCCTTTAACTCATGATACTCTCCTTCGTGCTGCCCATGAGTTAGTATTTAGGTCTAAAGGATAGATTAACGTCAGATTAAACATTTTGGGCCAAGAATCTAAGGAATACTTGAAGTACCGTGTGTACTGTGAGCTTCATTTTGCCTTCATCAGGAGCTCCATAATGCCATGTTGTCCTGCTATTGATGATGCCAGTTTGATGGCTGGGTTAAGTGGTGACCATATCTCTCCATGATCAATGTCTATTTCTTCTCCTCTTACCTTGTGGGTATCCGGCTCCTTCCCATCCATTGACCACTCTTGACCGAATCAATTATCAGGGGTTGCAAAATGATTGTCTAAGTTAGTCCTTTCATCTGCTTATCAGCTGGCACTCTTTATTTGAATTTCATTAATTATGAGTGAAGTTAACCATCCTTTCAAGTGTTTAAAAGCCATTTTAATTTCTTTCCTAGGGAATTGTCGGGGCAATTATAGCACAGTGAGATGAGTGCTGTGATGGGGTGAGGATGGGGGTTGTAGTAGGGCTGGGCAGAGACACCTTCCCACCCCACCTGAATACTGGACACATCAAGGAGGGCTTCACGGAGGTGGTGGCTCTCAGTATGGGTTCCTCCAAAGCAGCCCCTGAGACAAGAATGTAGGATAAATCGTAAATGACACAGGAAAGACAGCCAAGAAAGGTTGTTGTCAAGTAAGTTAGCATTATGGGCAATTGGAGCGTATCCCATGGGGAAATTCTGCAGCCCATTTAAAGTGGCTGGGCATTAGCCCACCCAAGGAGGGAGAGAGCTGGGGTACTTATACACCTAGTCCTGTCAGTCACAGTGCATCTTGGGGTGCTTCTTGGGACGGTGTTCATTCCCCAGCATTTCAAGTTTGCTCTGCAGTTGGCAGAGTGGGTTCCAGTGACCACAAAAAGCCCTTACACTTAGGCAATGAGTGTGGGTATTGCCAGCTGGGTGTCAGAAGCATGCACTGAAATGGTAAAAGTAGGGGGTCCAGGTAAGGCACCGCCCGCCTCTGCCCAAGGACCTCTAAGCAGAAACTTTAAGGATGAGGAGGAATTAACCAGATGAGGAGAAGATGTGGAAAAAACAAACGCTCTAGACAGCGAGAGGAGCAGGTGCAAAGGTCCTGAGATGAGAGATGAAGCTGAGCCGTCATGCCAGGAATTAACACGTCTGTGTGTTCTTTAGCCAGACCCTTCATAGAAACGCCATGAGAATACGAATGTCCACACTGGCAGGTGGGAAAGCAGAGGCTGAGAAAACATGAAACATGACCCCTAACCAGCTAGGATGCAGCACAGCTGGGGCTGGGATTCAAGTCTAGCTGGTCCCCCAAACACCCGAGTCTCTTGCGCAGGGCCGGTGCAGTGGTCGGGTTGGGAGGCAGTTTCACCTGCAAGGATCATCAGCAGGTTTGGCTTCCAAATTCTGGGCAAGGATGAAAGCCTCTCCTGGGAGGTAGAAGTGGCCTGAAGGAATTCTCTGGAAAAACCCTACAGCAAAGCCTTCTCTATCTATGACATCAGAACCAGCTGGCACAGGAAGCTATTGAAACCAGAGAAATGTAAATGTGACACGACCAGGTATGAACACCAGGTATGTTGGGGACGGGGGTCTCATCCAGGGGGCGGGGGTGGACAGCGGCTCCTGACCTGCCACCTGGTGCCCTGGTGAAGGCACATGTGACAGCCAGCCATTCCCGGTTTTCAAGAACCAGGAATCCAGATGTTTGTGTGAAATTGCTCATTTAAAAATGTGTAACTAAATTAAAAATAAACACACTGGTGCAGAAATAACAAAACACATTTGTGGGTCAGATCAAGTCCTCACATTGTCAGTTTGCAGCTTGTGCGTGAGATAATTTAGGTCTCGCCACCATCCTGCAGGCAGCACCGGCTACCGGGTCAGAGAAGCAGCCCAACCCAAGTTGCTTTACACAACGTAAGTTTATTTTCATTCACTTAAAATCCAGTTGCAGGGGCTGAGGTGTGCACCCTCCCCTCCACATTGCTACCCAATGGGTAGACAGCGGACTGAGGAAATGGAGGGCTGGGTGTGTGTTCCTCACCTCTGTCCTGTCCCCTTGGCCAGGACCCAGTCTATGGCCCCTCCCCCTAAATGCAGAGCAGAGCTGGGAAATTTGGTCCCCGCTGGTGGCAGCCACGTTCTACCAAGGACTACCC